AGCCACGATCTCCAAAACATATAAATACATAGACGATAGCCCGTTCTGGTCCTTTTCGTTTATTTTGTCATTGTCAACCCCTTTCATTCCAAAATTTTTCTGCCATGTCAAAGATTTTTATTCTCGTAGTACCTATTGCCTAACCTAAATCCAGTCAAAACCAGAAGTAAAACCGCAAGAGCCTTTGAAAATCTTAGAGGCCATCAACGATTGCTTTTTGGTCGTGGTGAATCAAACCAAACTATATGAAAAACCACGCATTAACCAAAGTAAGATCCCTTGTATTTCGGTAGAGCGTTAAAAAGCTGAAGGTGAATACATCTTAGATACGGGCTTGAACTTTGCCTTGGCCCCAGACCTCCCCAGTGTTACAGGCTGTGTTCAAGACGCCGTTACTGTAAGAGTTCAGTAAACGTCTGAACCCTCTTCCGGATAAATCAAAGTTTTTATATTCTTTTTATCAAATAAAGCTAACCGAAAGAAGAGGGAGAGTTGATAAAAGCAATTTATACCTTTGTTTCACTTACATATATTACAAAGTCTTGGTCTACGGTATCATATACTGTCATTGAATAGATAAAAGTCGTAAGGGTAGATTAGGACACGAAATACCTGTGTTGTATTAAGCGGGGAACATGAAAATGCTATACAGTGGCTGGAATCAATTGCCAGAAAATTGAAGAACCAATTATTTTAGAAAACATGCATACTTTCTAAAAAGAATCAAATCTTTTCTATTGCTCTTCTATTTCTTTGCAAGATGCTACCTGATTGCCAGTTAATTGAGATAAAATAGGCATCTTGAGCACTCCCAAGTGGCCGTTTGGCTATTGATTTGAGGTAGCCGCTGTGCGGAGGTTTTTTAAGTGAGTTCGACCCACAGGCGCAGACTTACATCTTTCCAGGAGGGCTCAAAAAGTAACTGCAATTGGTAATAGAGGCTGCCGAGGGCAGAGGGTAGAAAGAGGCCTAGCTGAGGGTTCTAGGGTGATTTTCATTTACATATTTCATATAGACTCTTTGCTACTGAAAACTGTGGCTTATGAAACAAATTTTTGATGTCAAGCTTGATGCACAGAGTAAGAAACTTGAATGCTTGGTCTCCTTTGAAAGCAGAACGCCGATCTCATGCAATTTTGTCCCTAATCTCAAGCTTTAATTTTAATCCAAACTGCACTATACAAGGTCTTTAGTCAGCAATTTTGACGTGACATGGCTCAGAGTGTTGAATGCGTGGTATTCTTCAAAGAAGGAGAAAGAGATTATACGTAACTATATCATGATGTCATCCGGTATGAACACAGCTGTTACGTCAAACTGTTTCTGCGAAAATCAATTTATTTGGGTTTTTTTTCTTATCAAAGGAGACCAAAAATGATTCTTGAACGACCTAATAAAATATATTCTATACTTTAAAGTCAAAATTGAACTATGTGAATGCTATTATCCTTGTGTATCGTATCTCTTAGCAGTGTCTCCATTTTTAATCTTCCGTGAAGTAGCAACAGACTCGACACAGCCAAGTCCTCGAATATAGGAATTTTCATCCCAGACCTTCAACTTTGAAGTATCTTTTTGAATCTGTTTTCTGTACGATGCTCGTGTGAATCTTAAAGATATTCAAAACCTATCCTTTGCGTCTTACCATTGAATCATTAAAGGAAATGCTGACCAAGTTTATGGTTCTTTCATGTTTTTCATTAAGTAATCTCTCATCAAAGAAAATAATTATGTAACATGGAAATTCGATAATTTTAACCTATTCATTATAAAAGTCAATGTTCATTCAAATTAGAATAAACAGGGCGTCAACGGTGATGGAGACAAATTAACAAAGATTTCTGGAAAGTCTGATTCAGTTTCTTGGAATGCAATGGATTCAGTAAGTTTGCTGAAGGTAGTGATAACCAGGGCCGCCGAGAGGTTTTGGAGGTCCCTTGCGATCGGAGCGAGGAGAAGATTTTTGCGACCACAACCTCTAGATTCGCTTAAGATGCATTTCAGAAAATTTACTTCTTGCAATCGCTTCAAACGTTGTACTAACTCTAGGCATACTTTTGCAAAGTTTGATTTATCCCATTCTTAAAATGGAATTCGTTACTATATGAGACCCCTTAGACCTTGAGGCCATGGGGCTATTTGCCCCCTTGCCCCCATTTCGGTGGCCCTAGTTACACCACAGCACTCCCTCTGATTGCACCTCATCTCTGCACTCCACTTGCATCAAAGATTATCCACATCGGCACTTACAACATAACAACCCCCTTAAGGTTAGCTTGCATATTCATATTAATCATGACCTTCACAAAGGTCAGCTATGCCAGGCCACTTCATCGTTTGAAAGTTGTTCAAAAATTCCTATATAAAGCGTAAGCTTCAACAGAATACATTTAAAAGAACTGTTATCTATGAGGCCTCTGATGAGCAGGCACCGCTGAGCTTCGAGCAAAGTGGGGGGGGGGGGTCTAAAAAAGTGGAGGGGGGCTAAAACCAAACAAAAATGGTCTTGACTATTGATTCATTGGTTAATTTCTGGCAAAGAGTGGGGGGAGGGGGCTAACGCCGCCCCAATCCTCCCGCTCCGCGGTGCCTGCTGATGAGTGATGGTGCCAAAAGTATACCCCCAACTTTTTTTCCAAAAAAAGAAATAGGTTCTCCCTGGCCTCCAATTTCAATTTTGCTTCAAGCTCCCTGTTCATTAAAACTACAAACAAAGTATGCGACGATGCAATGAAAGAAATTTTGAACTACACTCTTTTTTTATAAGAACCAGTAAATTTAAGCACAGGCTGACTGTTCTTAATTTTTTCAAAAATCTGAGGCTGGATTGTTCTTAATTTGTTCTTAAATTAAGAGGGTGTAAGCAGTGCTATTGCTAGCTTTTTCGCTCTAAGGAGGTGTTCAGGCCTCATTTGCCAACAAAGTGAGTGAGACAGCCTTAATTTGCTGACAAATTTGAATATTCACCGAAAAAGCACCCACACATCGCTAAAAATCCTCGATTTTGAGAAGAAACGTCGTTCAAAATTGCATTTTGCAGAAGCTCAGCCTCAGCTTGTTCTTAACTTTTTACCAGTTTTGAGGCTCGTGTTCATAAAAAATTTTTCTTATAAAATAAAGAGTGTACTTCAGCACCAACAAACTGTCAATCCGAAAATTCTAAAAAATTTGTTCTCCTTTATAGAGAAAAATGACTTCAACACCAAGAAGGAGAAGAGAGAGGTGTAAAATTTACAAGTGTCGTCCATTCATTGATCAACTAAAAACTATATGGTGGTAACAGCATAATAAGAAGACCAAAAAAAGTTATGGCGTTGAATGATGATTCTGGCTTTCAAAATCTTGCTTGAAGGATTTAATATAATCGAAAGATATTATCTAAAATGATTTTGCAAGTTCTTGTTGGGAGAAATGAACACCAATTTTACATCACCCTTCTCAACAGCAGAAAACCTCACCACTTGCCAATTATTTTGGTGGACAAAGAAGACCAAAATCTATCCAGAAATGTACAGGTGATTTGTCATCAACCGCACTTTTCAGCAAATTCTTATGAACCGATTAATGGTTTCCGAAACTAGCCGTTTAACTGATGTTTGTTGAAACTCCTTATAGAAAAGGGGGCACCCTAACGATCCAGTGGCGGATTTAAGGCGGGTGCAACCAGGGACATTTGCTCCTCTCTCACCGAAAGCAAGTTCCGCGCCCCTTCTTTGGAAATTGTGCGACCCTTTTGAAGCATGAGAATCAGGTGAAAAAGTTTTTGGGACTTATAGGTTAATTCACTTCAAGGATAATCTCAAAATATACAACAATTATGGTGAAAATTTCCTTTCAAAGTGAATAGAGAGCATTCTGGCAGTCATTTGGGTCTTGAATTGTTGCATACAGGGTTCACAGGTCACCAATTTCTGAAAATTTTTCAGCGCCCCCCACTACCAACTTCCTCTTCTTCAAACTTGCTCTGGATCTGCCCCTGAACGATCCAGATGCATGAAGGGAAGTTAATTTATTTACAGATGTATGCATAGTGTCTTATTTGGTTAATCGACTTTAGAGCTAAAGCTACCGAAAGGTTGAAGTATTCTCCAAGATTTGCAAAAATTCTAGAAATTATCCTTCAATTTCCCTTTCCGTTCATTAACTGCATAAGTCTCTTCTAGGATCCCATTTTGTTTGCTCTTTTTCACATCAAGATACCTAAACACACGGAGAAGGATTTCAAGAAGAATTTTTTGTCAATAATAAGGATTTTAATAAAGAATATTCCCTAAACCCAGGGAAGTCCCACAGTGTCCCTTCGCCAAGTGGTTAATTCTCTACCGATGTTCGTGTGACTTTTAACTTCAGCTGTGGGAGGGGGAAAGCCTCCCTTCTGGGTATAACTTTTTGCTTTAGTTTTATGGGGAACTGAAAGAAGGTTAGTTTTATCAGCTTCAACTCATAAATAGAAACAAAAAATTTACAGCGTCGCAGTCACTTGTGGACTCTTCCTAGAAGATGTTTTAAACCCCTGGCGTGACCAAACTTTCACCCAAAGTGAGGAGAGTCGCCAGCTCTCTGTAATTCCAGGCATAGGAATCACGAGATGTGGTCACATCGAGAGGAAGGACCAGGACACTGCTCGATGAGCATAAGCTTCTCAGTGTCCTAAAAACTACCTTAGGATGCTAGGTAGAAACAAATACTAATACAAATTTTAACACTTCGGCAAACAAACAGCTTGAAGAAATTTTATTCGGTATATTGAAGATATCGTACTACCCCTGATCAAAAACCTTTAGCAGCTGTGCGTTTTATAAGAATTTATAAAAGTCAAGTCAAAGGTTAGAAAGCCTAATTCCTACTAATAGAGACTGGCTTGCATTCATGAATATTCACATTGTTTTTTAGTCGGCTGTAGTTTTTCTTACAGCAACATCAGCAACAGACATGAGACTCAAATAGATTATCCCTCTCTCATAGACTTTTTTTATGAATTGACGGCTGAAAAGGACCCATGTGAAAGCTGTAATCCGAAATTAGGGGAAAAATATGCGGGCGAGCTTGAGGGAGGTGCGAAAAGAGGAGGTGGTTATGGGAAATTAAACCTCAAAATTTCTAAAAATTCTGCTACCTATTGTTCTTTGCTTACATAATATAACTCCAAAGTATGTGATTTAACCCATAGTCCTTTCCTCAATTGCTATCACTAGGATTTGTGTGAAAAAATAAGCAGTTTTTTACTGCATTGTCAAATTGCCTTGGTTTGTATCTCATCTCTTGGAAACTCACCAGTAACCATCCTCCAAAAATACCAACAAAGACTTTTAATCTGGGGGTAAACTCTATAAAGCACACTGGCTGAGCCACTTCCTCTGATTGGTTAAAATAATGTCAATAATAGACAATACACTTGACATAACTAACATGGTAGCTTCGGACTACTCGAAATTGTGGCAAAGATTTTCAAACTGATTGTAGCATTATTTCGAATACTGTGACGCATTACGTACCAACTACGTTTCAGGATCCCGAAAAGAGCTGCAGACAGTTTGTGGGAAAACTTTCTTCGCCACATAATCAGAGGGCAGTCCGTGGGACACTGCAAAGAGAGCCAGAGCGACCAAGACCTTGCTGCGGTTTTGAAGAGAGTGAAAGCTTGCTGGCATCGACGAAATCGGAGTCCGTTCGGTGTGCGCCGTTAGATGAAATTCAAGCGAACAGCAGTCTGTGAATTGCATTTCCTGTCGAGTGTCTGCCGTTGCAATCACTGTAAGGCGAGCGTAAGTTCTCTTGTTTCAGTTTTATTTGCGTGGGGATATAAATACGCTGGAAATCAGAGTAGTGCTAAGTTCTTATCGGTACTTAGCAATCTAGCATCTACGTGCACTTGCCAACGGTCGAGTTGAGGCAACTTAGGCAGTTGACAAAGTTTGGTGTTGCCAGTTAATATGCCAGGCTCCATCAAACTTTATTCGAAGTTGTTAAGAACACAGGAAGTGATATTTCGTGATTCGGATTAATTTATGTGCAAATTGATATTCCGCCGCATGACCAGCGATAAATCGCTTGCAGAAACCACTTGCTTCTCTCCTCAGTTCGTCAAAACATCTTGTCCGTTCTGTACAGACGGTGTCAGAGGCTCAGATCAATATATCGAAATAAACAAAGCTCCAATTTCAAATTCGGGATGATCCTTCAACATGTACGGCGCTCTTCATTTATGTTGCGTTTGCGTCCTAAACTGTCTCACAAACATACCCGCCATTCACGATTAAAGTGTCAAATTTTTTCGTTTATTGTTGCTATTAACTTTTAATTAATGACTGTAGAGTACATGTAACTGGATCGGTGTGAAATCCTTCAGCATTATTAAGGAGTGAATGAAGATTCACTATTTTTACTCATATTTGAGTGCTTTGAAATGATTCTCGCAAGCTGGCTCATAGTTTGGAATCAAGGCTTTGTAAATAAGTGACATTTTGCACGAGAGACGTGATTTCACAAGTTTTGTCTTCGCAGTCATGAAATTTCAAAAAATAAGGGTGTACACAAGGCTTTCCTGTTTCTTCCGCTTCGTGAAAATCTTTTAAGTTGCCTTGAGATTCATTACGACACAATCATATTTTTTCAGAGGCACTGATTTTCGATTCTTTCTCCTTTTCTGTAATTGCCTACCATCTCATATTATCGTCTTTTAATACCTGTGAATAGTTAAAAGTACTTCCTTTTTTGCAAGCGCGCGCTTCAAAGGTCAACCCAGAACACAGTCATATTCCGCTCATCTACAAAAGATGGTAGAAAATGGCCGTTGTGAAGATCAGTACCTTTAATATGCATTTGGAAAAGTTTATCAGTATTCCTTTCATTCTTCTGAACAATATCTGCAATACAGCACTGAATAAGTGTTGATTAATCGTGTATCAAGCTTTTATTTTGACAGGTATGGTCCTGTTAGTCATAACATTTTGAAATGGTTTTCTAAGCAAATTCGAATAGATCCCTCCTAATTACCCAAAGCTTTTAAAACGGCTGCCTATGTAAAAAATAAAGTCAGAAAACATTCAGGCTTTAAAAGAAATTTCTTGGTACAACTAGAGAACTTCAGAATCTCTTAATGTAAAACATAAATTTAAGAGAAGGGATAAAGATGTCTTCAGTCTCTTTTTGTTTCTATTTTGTTTCGATTTCTGTTAATTCATAAGTTGAAAAACCAGCCAGGTTTATCCATAAACTTTTTTTGTGTCACAAGAAAGGCCTTTTAGACCAAGAAAACAATTCTGACTATCCAATTTCTTCCTACAGCAAATTCACACATACAGAATGTATTATTCAACATTAAATTAACATTTGTTACAGTAAAATTTGGTAAACGCAATTATAAAAAAGATTTTTAGGGAAAATTTCAAATATGGAAATATTTTGAAGGATGGTGTTAATCCTGAGAAAATATTTTGTTTAAACTTCATGTTTGTTGTTGGGAACTTTGAAAATTAAATCAAATGTTTTCAAAATAATTTCAAGCTTGATTTGAAATGTTTTATTTTATGTTGCTTAACGTTGTTACAAAAATGTGTCGATGTACTGCAGGTTTTTGAAATCTACGAATGCAGTTTGCCATTTTTGAGTGAGTGAGCATCGGTGTGTAATTAGCCATGATATATACTATAATATTTAATTAATTCAATATTTCCCAAAATAGACGTCGCCAATTTGATTTAAGTTAAAATAGAAAAAATGAGACGAAAATACTAAAAATCTGAAGAAAGATAAATTGATAAACTTCTTTCTCTGTCACATTATCTCCTTCATTTCAAATGACTTCACTGTTCCTTCCTCCGGATGAAACTTTGTCCTATTTGCCTTCCTTAAAACTTTCCTGGTATATTTTGTGTTTATTAGGGATGGAGTTTAAATAGAATTATCTTTGGTTTGGTCTTTACTCTTTGTCAGGAAAAAAGAAAAGTTCAATTGCAATGGTAAACCCCTCTCACTGTATCAATATATGCATTGCTCTTCCTCAAAACTACTGCATCGTTAAATTTCTACTGCATGCGCATTGTATATATATGGTGCAATATAAGTGCTTTTATTATTTTTATTATTATTATAACCTTCCTCCGGCTCACAGACGTGAAATTTTAATGTTACCTGGGCTATGCTCGTAGGTTATTAGTACATAGGGATGAATACGATGTTTGATTATTGCACATTTCTTCCTGGTGAAAATTTCTCTGAAAAATGCTTTACTTTATTTTCTGCGAAGGAAGAACTAGATGCTTCGAGGAAAACAAGCCTAGGCAAGTAGATCAACTATTTAAAGAAGAAATGTGTGCTAAAACCTTTCAATTATTCAATATTTATAAAATGTGTTTAGCAACTATAGCTTTTTAGGTTCCAAGGCAACAGTTAAACCAGGTCAGGCAAACAGAATAAAAATAGATAAAAGCTCAAAATTTTAAAGCCAAATATCGAGCTTGCGAATTGTAAACACTTAAAAACACTGAAATATACTGAATTAAAAAGGCCGTTTGTTGAATAAAGTTTCTTTGAGCGATCTTAAACTAAACCATCAAAAATTAAATATTTTCCCACAGGCAGACTGGTGGGTAGAGAAATTTGCATCAATTTTCGAGGAAGTGCTTGAAACAATGTAAGGCTTCTTCTGAATTTTGAGTTTGCACAGGCCATCAGAACTGTTTCAAGCTGTTGTTTGATGTTAACAAGGATGTTAGGATGTTTGCCTTCCAACCTGAAAAAACCAAATGATGTGAGCAAGCTGATTGTGTCCATAACTCTATTGAATTGACAGCGTGTTTATAGAGTAAACTTTTGGTGTGGCCTAGATTTTAATACTTCCAGGCGCGACCTAGAATGACCACTGTTGTCGGGAGCTGTAGTTAAAAGTCTTTAAAAGAACAGCTTTAAAAATTGAAGTAATTCAATTTGATTTGAAAATAGTACGAAATGTTCGAAAATTGTTTATCATTTTCAAGTCGTGGACCTATCATATCGATTGATTAAAGGTTTAAAATCCATTGAACAGATTTCAGGCTTTAAGTTACTTGAAGAATGATTCGTAAAAATGTGAGCTGAACATAACTGATAATTTTAGGCCAGATTTTGTGATTCTGCCGTATGAATGCCTAATCATTTAATCGCTGTATCAACACAAGCATGGTTGGTGCCATTATCAAATGCTTCCAGACGTTAAGTGCAACTATCGATTCTATTCCTCGTCCTTGCTTTTAAGCATTACAGCCTGCTCAGGGGCTGAGGAACGTTAAAGCCTCGGGTAATTCATTTTCAACTTCGCTTTTAAGAGTTGCAACTGTTATTTCTTTTAGCCTTTCTTAGTTTTAAGTATTTCAGGGCTTTATAAAGCATGATACAGTCGAATCTGCTTTTAAAAACTTTGCTTGTAGTCACACTATTGTTCCCAGTCATATAAATTTTAGGCCAAAATACGCAAAACTGTTCAATTCAGTTCTATTTATGGTCAACCTCCGCTTACTGTCACAGCTTTTCAAGCAAACGTTGGTGTGGCTATAAGTGGAAATTACATGTATGTAGAAAATGGCCAAAGGTTTGTTTCCTCAATTTGGCCTAAGCAACTAAGCTCGCGACGTTGTCAGACGAAGCGACTTATCAAAACAATGGGGAATGGGGCTTCATTGCGTCAACTTTGATCACTGGCTTAGGCTTGATTTCTACCTGCCCTCTTGAACGGCCCTCTCTTCCATGTGGCCCGGAGATCTCCAAAACCCGTATTGTGCTGTCACATGATAAGCTTTACTCGATGTTTCGATTTGTTGTGATATTCGAAGCCAAAGCGCGCGCTTCTGCTAATGTCTGTTTGGGTCAGCTTTCAAGTGATAATCCAAAACTGGTTCAAGGTATTATCAGATATTGACGCCAGCTTGAAAGGGGGCGGGGGCGAACTTTCAATGGATGAAGGGTGTGAGGTCAGACAATAAGTTGGAAATGGCCCAGAGTCCTTGCAGGGATTTTTACGCCGAATTTGTGCGGGTGGCCAAGCGATGAAACATTTTTGTCTGCTTTTTTTAAACGAACTGTGTTCGAATTCGAATCGCCGATCAAACATTGTATTTCCTTGTGCTTTTAGTTGTTTTCAAATTTAACGGAAAAGCACAGCTCGAATAAATGCAGGAAGAAAACCAAGCAAAAAGTGAAGCCGCAAAATTTGTAATGAAGATGAAACACACTCTTTTTATAAGAACATACTTTGTAAGAACACTGAGGCTCGATTTGCCCAAAGAATAAGAACAAGGCTAGAACATACCCAGCTTCAGATGAGAGATATAAAAAAGCAATTCGCATTTTGAAAATTATGTCATGTCAACAGAATAAAACTATGCGAGTTTGTCCATAAACGCTAGCAGTCATTGCTTTATGTTTTAACTTTACCCAGTAAAATATCTTGGAAAACTATATACAGTATGTAACCTCTCAAATATTTGCAAAAAATCGCTCATAAGATAAGAACAATTTTAAGAACATTTGAGCCTAAAATTATTAAAAAGTTAAGAACATCGAGAATCGGCAAAATTCATCTGGTTCTAATGAAAGAGTATACTGTGTGACCCTGGCGGATGGAGAAAATGATGCATTAGCCTGTCCAATTGTGCAACGTGTGTAGCCAAATGATGCAACATTTCACTTGCAACAATTTTTGTGCGAAACATTGCCATGGCAGAGCTTGAGGAATAACGGAAAATTATTTATCTGTGAATTTCTCTGTAACATTTATGATGCATTGGAG